TTTAAAATCAATAAAAACATAAATAATACAGTATAAAATACAATTATGAAATATAATATAATATGAATGTGGAAAGGGGGGAAAAAAGCAAGCTAAATAGACAACAAGTAAAAAAATAGAGAACGAAATGGCCACCAACACAGAAAATATACCCAGACGCACCCCCTAAGGGGCTCAGCCACCCTAGCCCAATGTCTGGGAGAAGGCAATGTCTTCTGAGTGGGATCTACCTAGATCTCAAGGGGATCTCATTCCAGAAGGCAGGTGACATGACAGAGAAGGGGCACTTTGGGGATCTTGATAGATTGCTTGATTGAAGGAACCCAGAGCACACCAACCCTGTCAGATTAAACCTGCTGAACCAACACTGCAGGAGACAGGCTATCCTTAAGTAACTGGGCCTCTTCTTTGCAGATTTACACCTATGTACTTAATTGAGAATCTATTTATGTGAAAAAGTATATAAACTGTGGGCTTAAAAAAAAAAAAAATCTTGTGGCACTTTGAAGATTAACAGTGAGCCAGACTGAGCCAAAAAAATATATGGAATTGATTGGTTCATCTTTAATGCACACAGAGCTGTCTCTTGCCCTTTTGCTACCAGAGGCTAATCTGTTATTCTGGAGATGGGTTCAAATGTTCTCTCAATAAGTTACGCTGACGCTATTAATTTCTCTTTTGATAAGTTTAGCGATAGATGTTGTAAATGATGATGGAATGTTGAGATATATTGTTCTGGGCTGTTTTCTTCTTCTTTAAAGAATGTCAAAAGTGAACAATAAATATAAATCACGGAAATGTTTTTAAAAAATATTATTTCAATTGTCGAGGGCCTTCAAGAGATCAGGATGATGATATTATCATATAAGGCAAGAAAACAGCCACAATCACATCTTGCATGTAGAATGCATTGCGTGTAGGTTGCAAAAAGGGGGCGGGGCTTTGATTGTGCAGTTGCAACACCCTCTTGGTCTTTTGGACTCCCCAGCGAGATATATATTGGTTCGAAAGTGAAAATTAAGTTAACTTGCTGGAATTCTTATACAGTAGCCCCTTTCGGTCTTGATGCAGCCTGCTAATGAGAACGTTGCTCCATTTGGGCTGGGGAAAAATTCCCCTGGAGCTCAGGCAGAACCATTGAAGGGGCTTATCACCATTCTGGGGTTGAGAGCTGGCCTCAAAGGCCCCCTAACAGGCTGGGTCCCCTTTGATATGTTGATTCCCTCCTGCTGGAGCTTGGTGTCCTGTGAGGAGCCAAAGATGGGAGAGAATACCTCCCTGAGGCCACTGGAAGAGTTTTTAGCCCTCAATACAGGGTTTATTTCACCACCAAGGAATGGATCTTCCTCCCAAATTCTTCTGAGCGCTGACTTCTGATTCTCCTTCTCGCCCTCAGAGACAACAGAGTCCTCTTCATATCGCTGCAGAGCACGGAAGGCAGGATATTGCCGAGATGATCCTCGTGGCTGGGGTGAATTTAAAATTAACCGATAAGGTAAGGCCGCTTTGCGGCTGTCTGTATACATATACATGGAAACCTTACCTCTTTGCAAACCTGTGCCAGCTGTGGTAACAGGATTTTGGAATGAGAACGCATGGAGGACATTTTAAAGGTAACTATTTTATGCATTCCGCATTTGATCAAGAAAACAATGTTTTTCAGTGCACACTCGGTCCGTATGGTATCCCTTATTCCTGAAAATTCAGATGACCCCCTCTCTGGTGCTCTTACTTAGGACAGTCAAAGCAGCACTTTCCTGGAGGGCATTTGGCAGCCAATGCCACTGAGCTAAGTGCCAGGGGTGGTGGTATTATTGTTGCTATTCTTAGTTTTATTTTAGGATCTTAAGCCAACTCCTGGTGATACATAAGTATTGTAATAAATGCTATAGTCAATCCATACTTTTTTAACAAGAGCAACAATGAAATAACTTTCTCACAAGCATAAAGCAGACCCCATAAAATACAAAGAGAAGCACTTCTGTAATCCTCTTAATGTAGACTCAAATGGTTATCAAGATAACCAGATTAGTCATCATGCCCCATAATGATGATCTTCTGACAACATATCTATGATGCTAGGGAGCCACATTTGTCAACTGGATAGGAACTTTGGGATCTAACCTGAAGTAAAATTCCTATTTCCAGCTGGGCAATTTTTTTAAAGAAGCAGCTCAAGTTGCATTTCTCTCAGCTCAGAATAAAGAATAGGGTATCAGGTTCCAACGGTTCAATTTTGTCTAAACCACATGGACATAACTTCTGTGATTTACTTTTATTTTTTATTTAAGAATTTACAGTCACAGAGCAAAAAAAAAAAAAAAAAGTAATGTTAAAATGCAAAATATCTGGGATAAAAAGCAGAATCAAAGCATGTATCTATCATTTAGATCCAATAGTTTCTGACTGCCTTTGCTACTTTATTGTGGTGATTATTTAATAGGAAACCTCCAATTGCCGGTTGGGTCCATATAATTTGTGATTAGAGTAGTGACTAACTCCATCCTCCAAGGGTGATTGGTAGGGCATTTCAAGAGTACATGGGCGACCCTCTCAGTTTCAGTGTCTGAACAAACTGAATTCTAGAAGAATCAGGACAGACAAAATAATTTTTTTTTCAACTCAATGCATAATTCAACTTGGGAATTCACTACCAAGAGATGTGCTTGGTACATCTTGGTACAACAGCTTGGCTGGCTTCAAAAAAGGGTTGGACCAATTCATGGGAGTCATGGGGATCAATGGCTCTTACCCCGATGGCTGTGGGACTGCCTCTGAAGGCCATCTGCTGGGAGGCTAGTGGGCTTCCTTGGGCAGTTGGCTGGCCACTGTGAGAACAGACTGCTGGATTAGATGGGCCAGGGGTCCGATCCAGCAGGGCAGTACTTATGCTCTTATGTTCTTGTACACATAAGCGCTCTTAGACAGAGAATATTGTTGAATCTCCTGGTCAATATCATTGAGGGCAAAGCATCTAAGCGTGCCAGTGTGAGTGCCCTCCTATATAATAAAAATATTTGAGCATAATGAAAGGTGGATATATGAGTTCATTGTAGCAGAGGTGTGATGGGTTAAATCTATCCCTCTGAATCTCAAGATCGAAAATGCTCTGCTTGATCTCATTCTAGGTTTTGTCTAAGCCCAGGATAGAGAGAGACTGGGGAGAGAGAGCGCACAAGGGACCAGATCAGATGTTACCTGCTTCTCCCGCAGGGAATTATATGAGTCTTTCAATACAAGTTGGGCTAGAGGCTCACCCATATAGATCTGTTTCAGTCAGTATTTTATCCTCTGTGATAACAGAGTTTTGCTGAATCTGCCCTCCAAAATTTCAGCTCAACAGGAAAATAGAAAATGCTGGCAAGCTCCACCATGCTTCAAAAATCACAGTGTAAGAATGGTATTTAATCATCTGCACCACGTCAGCTACAAAGACGTAGTTCAGTTTTCCTTCCCGTAAGGTAAAACTAAATCTTTACAAAGATGTTGGGCTGTTATCCCTCGATCAGTGGGGTAAACGCACTCATAATATGGCAGGAGTTACATATTTGCTGTCTGTTTGTTTTAAAAAGCAGCTAAGTCTTGTCTGGTTGAACTCAGTGGATTTATTTTTCTTTCTGCAGCAAGGAAAAACTTCTCTGGATGTTGCTGCCCGTGGGAACCATGTCAATTTGGCTGATATGATCATCAAAGCGGACAGGTTTTACAAATGGGAAAAAGTAAGTGGGCTTCAGGGCTCTCCTGGGACATACAGTAACTAGGTGAAGGAAGTTGGCGGCTCAGGAAATATGGGGCTCCAAATGGGAAGAAATTAACTGGGTGGTGGTGATGATGGCGAGGAGATCACAAAAGTTTCTCTGTATTAAAGAAAAGCAGCTAATTGTGCAGGGGGGGGGGAAGCTAATAGGAAGTTGTAGCCGTAGAGTGGAATTGTACACAAATAATTTGTTGAAATTCTCGGTCAGAATTGGGAGAATTTCTCCAGAGGAAACAGAAACACTCCAGTTGTTTCTCAAGAACAGGAATCTCTCTTAGCAGCAACAGCCATGCTGCTACTGGAAAAAGCCCTGAAATTATTTGTTTGTTTATTGTTTGATTTGTATGGCTGCCTGTCTCATCTAAGCAACTCTAGGCGGCTCACAACAGGTAAACAACAGTCCAATAAAATGGATGGAAATATGAGAAGCCAGAGAGGCTGCAGAAGACTGGGGAGAGGATGGCCAGTAGAAGACAGGATGTTTACTGGACATGCACTGCTTGGCCTCCTTGATGCTAAATAGCTGCAGGAACTCGCAGCACCTTCCTGGAGGATTTTACCATCATCCTCTTTTCTTTGAATGATTTTCGAAAGCCACTTTGTTTTCATCAAATGGAGTAGTAAGAAGTGGTAGAAGAAATGTAGGAGAATGTCTCTGAGCAGCAGGACGAGGGAGATCTGGGGGGCTGAAAGGCAGGAGATTTTACTGAATGGAAGGAAAGGGAAAGGAGGCAGTAAGCAGAAAAGCAGTGGTAGGAACCGTCCTCCCCTTATGGTCCATGGCAGTCTCCAGTTTGGCTGGAATACTGAAAGGCTGTGGCTGGCTAACACACCACCCTAATACATAATGTGGTTTGTTGGATTTTGGCTTAGTACATTGTGTGTTTTAACCATGGTTTATTAAATAGCACCTGGGTTCGTACAGCATACTAAGCTACAATGTCAGGGGCATCTGTGCAGAAAAATCAAGTTGGTGGCAACCGTTCAAAGTTATGGTGGTGCTGAAAATGTAACTTTATGACCAGTCCTCACCCTTACGAACGTCACAGCATCCCACAGTCATGTGATCACCATTTGCGTGCTTCACAACCACTTCCAACACATAGAGTGAATGGAGAAGCCAACATTATGGGGTTTTTGTATGACCCTCCCAACCCGCACAGATTGGATGTGTGGTGCATGGTTATTGTTTTATGTTCGTTTGAAAAATGTATATGGCCGCCCATCTTAAACAAGTAACTCTGGGCACTAGTAGGCAATACATAAACCAAAATATATTAATAAAAAATATATATACAGGTAGACCTCACTTAACAACTGCCCTGTTTAGCAACCGTTCAAAGTTATGGTGGTGCTGAAAATGTAACTTTATCACCAGTCCTCACCCTTATGAACGTCACAGCATCTCACAGTCATGTGATCACCATTTGCGTGCTTCACAACCAACTTCCAATACATAGAATGAATGGAGAAGCCAGCAGTAAAATCGCAAGTTGTGATCATGTGATGTTTTGCTTAACAACCTGCGGTGACTTAACAACCAAATGGTTAGTTGTAAGTCTGTCATAGTCACATGATGTTTTGTTTAGTGACCATGTTGCTTAGCGACAGAGTTTCTAGCTCAATTGTGGTCGCTAAATTAGGACTACCTGTAAAACAATGCAAAATACAATAAAAATTATTGTCAAACTATAATCAAGTGTAATAGGCAAAAGGAATAACCTTAAGGAACAGGAGGAAGGGCCACTGCCAAGACAACAGTCAGATAAAAGAAATCTGAGTCTGGGCTAGAACTGTAACTTGAGAAAGTATCTCAGACAAGACCCTCCTTAGTTCTCGTGAAGATAAAGGGAGGGAAGGGGAAAGCACATTCAGACTTGCAAGATTCTGTCACAATAGCTCTAGAAAAAAGTAATATTAGCCTGTATGACTTTGGTTTCTTTTTCTGGTCCCCCTTGAAGAACTGACACCAAGGTACCTCAAAACACCTCACCCACCAACAGGCAACTTGGCTTTGCTAATGCCCCGCCACTCCCCACCCCCTGCTGGAGGAAAGAGCCAAGTCTTGTTAATGGCTTAGTGTGTTGAGTGACCTTAACCAATTGAAGTTAACTCTTCCAGCCTGGTAGTTGACAGGTATGTTGATTACAATTTCCATAATCCGGTGTGGGTGAAGGCTGGTGGAAATGTATGGAAGTTTTAGATCGGCACCTGCAAAAGTAGCAGCAATCTCAGCCAGAGTGGGAAACTAAAATCAGTCACAAACCAACATGAAGCAGATTGCGACGTTTTTCTAGGATAACCTCAGCAGCGATTCTGACTCCTGGGTAGCCGAGCGTTTAACTTTCAAGCAGGACCATCGGCTGGAAACGCAGCATATCCGTTCGGTGATATGGCGGCTCGCAACCAAATACCTCAAACCCAGCGAGTGGAAGAAACTCGCGCATTACTGGAAATTCACGGAGGCGCATATCAGAGCAATTGAACACCAGTGGACAGGTAGGTGGACAGGCTGACATTCTTTCCAGCTGCTGCTGAATGGGAGACCAGAGGTGGCCTAAGATCCCCTTTCTGATGGTCCCTGGATACGGGAGAAGGCTGCCATGTTCTCAGCCCGAGTTCAGGGCTATTACAAAGAGGGCCTGACTTTCAGACAGGCTAAAATAGCTGTAGCCCTTGGTTTTACAAATGCAACGCTGGGGTTCGACTGTGAGACTAGCGCCGAAGGACAAAATATTATAAAATATGAACAACGTGCTTGTTTCAGATAGGAGACCAAACCAAGAAGTGGTCCAGGCTCCAATTTTCAAGCAGTTTGCAAGGAAAAAGAAGAAGTACAGATCGAAAACCGCTTTGCTAGTCAGTCTTCTCCTAACCTGGCTGCCATCCAGCCCATATCAGAGAGAGCTGGCTCAGCTGTGACCAGCTATTCATATTGAAAAAGCTGGATGAAGCATGTTTGAATTTGTTTCGTGTTCCCCCACCTCCCCCCAGGTAATTGGCAACCCCAGGCAGCTTTTAAAGAGAAAAGGTGCAAGTGTTGCATCAATGAGAGAGCTGAACGCTCTGGGGGACCTGAATTACTAACCCCCTCATCATTACCCCTGAAAGCCAGAACCTTCTTTTCAGTGTTAAAAAAACATCCCCAAAGGGACAGCCATTGAGAACAGTTGCAATAAATTAAAAACAATTCCAACATCGGTAATTCAGCAGTGACATACTTAAATCCCAATTGTAGGCGCTGTAGCAGGACGGCTGCGTTAGTACCAATGGAGGCGAATATGTGTAGCTCAGGGTTGAACTGTGGAGTCCTTGGGGCTCTCTGAGCTTGGTTCTCTTCCTGCAAAAGTTTCAACTGCCAACAGACTATTACAACCACATGGCATCTCCGTGGCACACAAACCCACGAAAGCCAGGCAGGGGCGTCAGCAGGGAGGGGTAAAAAAAAGTCAAGATGGTGTGGCAGGCATGTATAAAAGAGGTGTGGCTTTGACCGCATGTTTGTGGCTGCCATCTTAACTTATTTTGACACACACACCCTTGCAGATGACCCTGCTATGAAGGTTACCAAGCTTAGCAGGTGTGTGAATCTTAACCGAACTTTATCTGATTTGCTTCGGCCCGTTGTGTGAACGTAACCACCTATTATCTGGCTGCTCTGCTGCTTTTTCAATTATGATGGTGGAAATCATCATCATCATCATCATCATCATCATCATCATCATCAAAGGCTGTCAGTATGGTATTAAGGTCAGGGGAAAGAGAAAGGGAACATGGAACTAATTTTGACTTGCAGTGAGCTTCTCAAATAGCCGGCCAGCCACACCACCGTTCTGTGATTCCAGAGCTGAGTCATAATGCACCTGTCGCAAGAGGATATTAAGCATGTCCACGTGCATCAATGGGCAAGCACTGTTTTGTGCATCACGTTGTCAAGCAAATGATGCCACCTGCATGCTGTCCCTCATGATGGAAGCTACATCGTTTGGGTCACTCAGGTGATGATGTCGTGACACACATTATGGCTGTTACTGGATGTCTGGGAACATCTCACCTGACCTGTGTCTGCATCCATTGCTCTTCTTGCCAGGCACCAAAAGCTACCGAGAGCACGGCCATCGGATGCTGCTGATCTGGCTTCATGGGGCGATCGTGGCAGGAGAAAACCCAGTCAAAGGACTGTACGAAGGGCTGGTTAGCATTGGGAGGAGCGACTTAGCAGGTACGCTGATTCCTTGGCCTCCTCTGGTCCAGTGAGCTGTCCGGCCCAGGGCCAGCTGGATCAGGCCAAAGCCCAGCCTAGACCTGCACATCTGTTTTCTTTTTTAACAGAAAGTATCAGGAAGCTGGCCAATGCAAATTCCCCCACGTCTCCACGGAGGTGTTCAGCGATGTGAGGACCGAGGGGCTGCAGAACGCCCCTACGTGCAACTCTTCCAGAGCTCTCTTTCAAGACTTGCCTCAAAGGGCCACCATTTTCAAGGGCTTCTTGCCATCCTGAATGGCAACCTTTTCCAATCCAGGTCAGGTCAAAGTAAACCGTCGATCAGCAGACTCTAAACCACAGCAGTGCATTCTTAGGGCCTTGGTTGGAGAGATGGAGAAACATGGGTCTTTTTTCTGAGGTCTGAGATGAGGGTGCACTCTGATGCTTACTTTACAAGTAAATTTTATCGGTTTTTATCATTTCCGTAAGATCAGCGTTGACTCGGTTTCTTGAATAAACGTCACAATAAAGGGTAGGCTTATCTCTCTATATACATATCCTTAAATGGGAAAAACTCACTGTGAGGTACAATACCTATCCTTGTGGGCAGCTTCCTGTTGTTTTAAGGGCACCTATGTTGTAACACAGCTGCAGCCTCCAAAACTTTCCATGGCTGCACCTCGCATGCCAATGTGCAAACCTGCACTGCTAAGGTCATTTATCACTCTGGTGCTAATGGTCTCTTTTCCTTCCAGAGTACAGGTAGTCCTTGCTTGATGAACATTCATTTAACGGTTCAAAGTTATGACGGCTCTGGAAAAAATACTTTACGACCTGTACTCACACGGCCATTGCAAACTGCCACACTGCCTCTGCAGTCGTGATCATGATTTGTGACCTTTTTTATGACAGTCGTGAAGTGAATCACGTGGTCATTAAGCAAATTTTGGCAAAAAAGTCCACTGGGGAAACTGGATTCACTTAACGACCATGCAATTCACTTAACATGGTGATTCGCTTTACAATAATTGTAAAAATGGTCGTAAAATTGGGTTCGGTCATGTGGTAACTTGCTTAATGACCGCCCTGCTTAACAACCAATTTTCTGGTTCCTATCGTGGTCGTTAAGCAAGGACTGCTTGTAACTTCTTTATATCCTATTCATGTTGCTATCTTGGTTTTTAGGTTATAGTTTATAAAGATGCATTTCCTTTAATGGAATCCACCCACTCACCTTATTCTGGGCATGCTTGTAGGCAGAGACATGGTCAGAACTTTCTGCAAAAATGTTAGTCTGGCAATTCCACTTCAGGTTAGTCTGACAGTTTCAAAAGTTGTGCAATGCTTGCTTTTCAGGTGATTGTTCTAAAAAATTGAGAAGTGGGACTTTTATGCCTCTCCCTCCCAACAAATAACGTAGCCCAAATACTTGAGCAGACTTGAGATACCAAGATGAATATACTAACTGGAATCATACTCATTTAGGAGGAGGAAGGAGTATTAGGTACACTTGCCATCTTGAATTTTTTTTTTAAATAATAGACGTAATATATATATATATATATATATATGTATGTATGTATGTATATGTATATATATATATATATAAATTGCATAGGAACAATTTCCAGTTTAAAATTTCCCAGGAACCCAAATCTTTGCTTCTAAGTTTGAGCTTCTTCCTTTGTTTCACTTCTTCCACCATCTCCAGAGAAGAGCCCAGGGACACAGCCCAGCTGCAGTTAAAAATATTTAAAACTCAGTGACTCCAGTGCAATATAATCAGACGCAGTTTAAAGCTCCTTAGGTTGTGCCCCAGCATTTTAATGGCTTCACAGCTCTCCTTTGGCTAAATTTTTTGATGACTGCGGAGACTATAATGTCCAGCTCTCCCCACAGATTATAGCAGACCGATCATCTTAGACTTAATGGATCTTTCTTGAAACATAGACGCATTCCATCCAGTTATTAATTCATTTGCTGGGTTAACTGAACCATCAACTAACCCAATGCAATGCATGAAACAAAACCTAACCATGGTTAAAAGTGGCCACCCTTAGAATGGAACACACTTGCAGCTACTTTCACTCACTTGGTTCAATGTGTGGTGTGAACAGAGTCAAGGGATATATCTTCTGGAAACAGAGTAAAAATTGCAGTTAGACTAACACCCCTGGGGCATTATATTTTTTCTCATGCCCCCTCCCTGAAGCTGCTGAAAGGAGGTTGCAGTTGCATCTTTTTTCTAGGGTACGAAACCACTTATCTGCACAAGAATATGGCTACCTGGCAACTAACGCTTTAGACCTTTGCATCCTTTCTGCTGAGCATTATTCCAAACTTGGAGGTCCATGTTTGGGGGGAACAGCCGGCTCAATCCATGTGACATTTAATATTCGGCCTCAGGACTTGGCTTCGGGAGCAATGCAAGGGGAGAACTGTTCTACTGTTTCAGCCAAACCTTTTGTGATCCATGTTATTTTTTATATATACATACACATCTCAGCTATGCACACGGAGCGAGGGTGGGTAGCTGGTTTTATTTCCTCTGCCTCCAGGCCCTTCCCTTCTCCACCAGAAGCACCTGGACTTCTGCAGCCCTGGGCCATTCCCTTTGGAGGAAGAGATTTACGCACCAGCTGCCCTATGCTGTGATCCCCCCGCATCTTTCTGAAAAGGTAGAGAGTGAAATGACAGCCCTGACACTGGCGCCCGAAGAGGCATTGAGCACGTAGCACCTTTGGCTTTTGGCTGCTCATCTCTGACAAAAGGGAAGACAGGGAGAAGTTTACTAAGTCACCCCTTGCACCTCGAAGTAGCTCCTCCCCAGGCTGTGGATAATGCCAACAGCAGGGAAGAAGGTTAGGAGTCCCCAGACCCCACCATCATTTGCCCTGATCCCAAGGTCATGGGCAGGGCCAGGGCCCAGGCCCAGGCTTCACCCCTGTTTCTTAACCTGGCTGTATAAGTATGCACTTTCAACTTCAAAACAGTGTTTTGTTCTCACCAGGGCTAATAGGACAATGTTTTATCTACGGACAGTACACTTTTCTTAAATTTGTCGTGAAGTTTTGTATTTTTAAAGCAATGTTTAAACTTCTAGTTTTCAAATAAATGGTTTTCTTCCCTTTTATGTAGTTCATTTGTTTTTAAGTTCTCAAAACTTGGAACAGTCACTTTTCAGAAAACCTGAATCATTTCAGGTGGTAGTACCATCTCCAACTTCCATTGAGTTTCATCTCCCAGAATTATGAACAGCAGAGCTGGAAACTCTGTGGATTTGTAAAATTTTAACCCAGCTGGAGGGCTCCAGATCAGGCAGGCTATTACAGAATTTGTACCCAAACCCAAACCTGATAAACTTTGAGGATGAAGCCGAGCTGTTATCTTGCATACTCTTAACAGCAGAGAAGTCTTCCCACCCCCAGTTAAAATTTTATTCAAAACAAAGTTAGATAGCAAGTTAATTTTACAAAAAAAACACCCTTTGATTTCAAGTCATTAAGCAATACCGGTATATAAAGAAAAGTAACAGCAACATTGACACTTCCAACATAGTTTAAAACTAAATATTCAAATTATAAATGAGCTTTAAGACATCCATAATTTGTTCAATGTAACCCCTTTCTGCATGGAGATATATATATCTGTATATATTAAAAAGATTATTCTCTGTAAGACCACAATAATGAAGGCTTTGGTACACCAAAAGTTTAAGTCTGACAGCTGTGTTTGTTTGGTTCTTAAATGAGTCTTCCAAAGTTGCATCCTTAACTTTTATTATCCAAATATAGCTTGTGAAACAGCAATGGGAGCGAGCGTCCATAGTCTTATGTCATTTAATGAAATCCGTCCAGCTGAGTTTAACGACACAGTTCTAGCCAGTTTAGTGGGAAAAGAGAAGGACAAGAGAAGGTCAGATGGGACTGGAAGGGAAGTCTGCCAAAAAGGAAAGAGGCGAGGCCCTCCTGATGAAAGAACGGCCAATCAGCTAATTATGATGGTTGTTCTTGTTCGTTGCTGGGTTGGAGATTAGCTTTCTGGACTTCTAGTTCTTCTGCGCTGATCATGGAGGGGTCAATAGCAGCATATCTGGTCCCATGGAACTGAAGCAAGTGTATCTGTAGGGCAGATGGACAGAAGTAGAACCTATTCATCCTTTTTTTCTCTAAACCAAAAAACGCCGACAGAAGTAAGTATGACTTCACCCTGGTTCCGCTACAGTTTCTCATGCACTTCGAGAAATGTACTCTGGTATGAATTCCAAAGTGTAATTAGCACTGAGAAAGTGAGAGGAACTTAGCTATATACATAGCCTACATATATAGCATATGAGTAGAAATTAACACAAACCAATCTAATTCAGAAGTTCCAGGCTAACATTTGGTTATTTGACTTTGGCCCTTTTCTAAAAATGTTAGGGCAACATTTTGTGCAAACAAAGCAGATAGACTAGAAGAAGCTGCACGCTGAAAACACGCTGACTCCCATACAAACGTCTTACCAAACATCTGCAAACTGACTAACAAAACAGGATACGTATTATTTCTTTAAAAAAGAAAAAAAAAACCCAACATAGATCTTTAGAAACCGCAACACAGATCTCACCATCCTTCCAAATATACTCATTCAGCTTCCCAGTTGCAGAAGAAGAGGAACGTTCTGTTAACTCTTTATTAGGGTCAGGGGAAGGGAGAGAAGTTAGTTTTGCTCACTTTTCATTTTAGTTTTAATTGCTGTGCCTTAGCTTAACAGTTACAATTCTAACCAGTTTAGTAATAAAAAAGATCACGGAACCAAAGGAGTCTACTTTAGTTTAATGACACAATTCTAACCAGTTTAGTAATTTAAAAAAGAACCAACAATTGGAAAGATGGGATGGTAGGGGAATTCAACCACAGTTAGCATTTCTAGGCATATTTTCCTTGTTCATTCAATATGGTTACCTCCGTGCATGGGTCTGGGAGTATGCTAATCTTTTTTTTTTTTACTCCACTCTTCAGCTAAAGAATCCTCAGATTGCCTATACAGGAAAAACACAATACACCAAGAACACAGTACTCTTGCTCCAGTCATCTAATACAGCGCTTGCCTAAAGTTTTCTTTCTCTCTGACTCTACATTCACCATCAGGGAGGAAAATGAAGCAGCAGAACTTACTTGGATATAAAGGTTCACTTCAGCACTTCTGCAGAGATATGGGAAATTGCCTCCTGTCTTAAGATGGGCTCTCCTGGCATTGGGATACAGCTTATACATCTCCTCCTTGGCTTCCATGGACAGAGCACTCTGATCAAATACCTAAGAATCAAAACAAGCATCAGCAGGAGCTTTGCCATCCCATACAACGGAGCCCAGGGTCTTTCCCTTCCAGATGTTCTCTCTCCCTTCCAGCAGTTCTCTCTTCCAAAAGGTCCCATGCTTGCAGGACATGATGCTGGTGACCACCATAGCTAGGTCCTTGTGGGTTGGTGATTTCCCACAAATAAATACCCAGCCAAACCAGTTGCAACACATCCTTACCAGCTAGGAATATACCCTGGTCGAAGTTTTTATTGACCAAACCATGATTGGCTGGGTTTTCAGTATTGTCTGAAAAGACAGGGGAGAGGAAGGAGTATTTGGAGAATTATTCTACCCTGAGTCTCCCATGAAACAGAGTAACCGTGTGTCTTCTATTCAGTATGAAAATGCTTGACTACTAATCTTCCAAGGCAATAACAGGCTCTTTTGTTCTTAATCATCCTTAGGAATACAGGTAGGGCATCAGGGTATGGCTCATCCTTGGATCCAGCATGTATCCACCATCAGACTTCACAAGACTTTCCAAACCGTTTTTGGGGGGAGGGGCAATTGCCTTGGGTGGGCCTGTTTCAAGACCCATCTCAAGATTCAAAAAAGGGTGCTGTATTTCACAACTGAGAGAAAAAAGTAAATTGTGAGCCAAGGGTTCACACATCACACCTTCACATGGGTTCACACATCACACTAAGCCATGGTTTACTGCATAAATGGAGCCAAACCAAATGATGGCTTGGGCCCATGTCTAGCCAGCCATACTTTCTCTCTCATGAGAATGTGTTTCTTCTTTGGTCAACCCACCTCAACTCAAATGCTAAACCCAAGATCGCTTACGTCCATGATGGTGACAGGAACATCTCGGATCTTATGAGGTTCAACGTAGGAATTCTGGCAATTGAGAGTGAGTCTTGAAGCCAGCTCGCTCTGACCCAAACTTTCCAGCTTTCAGAAATTAAAAAAAACAAAAAACATCCATTTGGATTTGAAATCTGGCAGCCCAGAAATACTCAATGCATGAACTATTTTCCTTTTCGTTCTTGAGCTGAAAAGGCCTCTCACTGCTACCTACTGACAGACAATCTTAATAATACACACACCACTGAACAGAAAAAGGAACAAGGAAGGAAGACGAAAACACCCAGTATTTGCTATTCCATGAGCAAACTTCCAAACACAATCAAGCAACCAGAATGCATTTGACCGTTATGGATCTTTACCCTATCCACCATGAAATCAATTCCGTCAGCCATTTCAGGGTCTACTGGACCAGATGCAAAATTCCCAAGTACAATTTTCTTCAACATAAAAGCAGGCAACAACCAAAAGCTGGAAAGAGAGAGGAATACAGTTAGGACTCCAAGTTCAGGAGAAGCCCTGCATTGTCAAGTTAAACATAAAAAGATCCCTTTGCATTCAGCCCACCTCGGTTTATACTGCCCCTTTCACAATGTTAGTAAGGCTGATCCCTAACAATTCCCAGGACACACAGATGACTTTTGCACTGTCCGTTACTGTATACAAACACATCATACATAGAAGGTTGCTAGAGTTTGGGTTAAAACTTGTCCTTTCCAAGGTTAATGACTACTTAATGTTGAACATTACCACTGGGTAACCAAACTTTTTACTCTGTAACTCCTATGCTAATTTCAATGTCTTTTATTCTTTTGTTTCTGAGTTGAACACGCATAGTCTTATGGTGGTGACCATGCATAACTCAGGGTTGGCATGTTGTATGGTCGGACTTTTAGATCCATGGCTGGTTTTAGGTCCAGCAGGGTAATGGAACATCTTCAACCCCCAAAGCCAGGTGGGAGAACAACAATTTATTAATTATTTGTTCTGCAAAATGACATAACCACCCATCTTAAACAAATGACTCTGGGTGGCTAACAAAACATTGAAACCATATAAACTCATATAAATCGGTAAAAACAACATGATGCTCAGTAAAAATAATCAATTCCTTGATAAATAGAGAGGAAAACATATAAACTGGGGCTCCTGGCCCTAATGCTTGGGGAAAGAGACAAGTTTTCCAGGCCTTCTGAAAGGCCAATGAGGCCAGCTTTTGTAACAGCACAACAGTAGTGTTGGACGTCTGAGCTGAATAAATGGAAATAGGAACCATTTATGTTTGTGGACACACTACAGCCTCTTGGAGTCCAAGCTCAGAGTTGTGAAACTCAACTGTCTTTGCTGACACAACCATGCTACAGGGTGGGCAATTAGCAGCCTGCCTGCACCCATTGGCCCAGCCTTTTTGTGGTTCCTGAATCCAGCTCTAACCTAATTGCTGCCAATGAAAGTACAGCTGCTCTTGATTTTGAAAGAGGAAACAAAACCTCTGCCATTATGCCCTCAAATGGGGGGGGGGGGGGGAAAAACCGACACTTTTTTAAAAATCAAGAGTAGCTGTACTTTCATTTGCGTGTACATACAACCCCCCCCAAGTACTTTGATTTGTGTAGATATACACACATACCGCCCAAGTACTTTCATTGCATGCATATATACACACACACACACACACATATATATGCGCATATATATATATACATATGCAAATAAATACATAAATAAATAAAAACCAAGCTCCACAAGACGAAATCAAGACCACATTGGAAAGTCCAGGCCTCCCAAAAGCATGGATGTGGCTTGCAGAGGGTATCCCCCAGCCCCACCACCATGGCCCTTAACTCTCTCAAAGAACAGAAGCAACTGCAAAATTGGCTCTTGTGAGTAACAGAAAATGAAGTTCTATTCAAAGACAAGGAATATGGATTCAAAACAATTATTCTGAGGTTCTGTGTTTAAAACACCGCCCCCCAGAAATGTCTCGTGAAGGCAGAGATGGACAAGTACGCAAATGCTTCAAACTCAAAAACCTTTGGAAGGAGGGGAACAGCGTCCAAACCCTTCCAGTAAGGTCAGAACAAGCTTGACAGATCTTAGCTTCAACCCATCTTCCACACTTCCACCAAGATGCACTTGCCCTCATTTGGCCTAGTTCCAAACCTCACAGATGATCAGCCATGATGTTTTTACAGTCACCTAACTTTGGGTGTGTTTGTTTTTTAAAAAAGGAAAGCCCTGATTTATTTACTGGCATCTCACCTATTTGCCGTCCATGTCTGATTGAAAATCGAGGTGTCGCTGAAAGCGTTGCACAGAATCAAAGACTGGACACGGGGGGATTTGTGGGTGTACTCGGCAAATTTCTGAGCAAGGAAACCTCCCAGTGAAGCACCAAAAAGGTGAACCTGATATTAAAACAATGAAAGAAGAACACTCTTGATAGTTTTATTTTTATCAAATGCATATTGCCATTCTAAGCATTTGGAAATTAGGCGTGTTTCCACCGAATGGCAGACCGAAAGACAAGCAAAAAAATGTTTGCAGCAAATTATGTAGTGAAAGTTCAAAGCAGATGAAGGGTTCAGACAATGGACTTTCCAATTTCTCTCTCGTTTTCATTCAGTAGTCTCTGCCATCTCATGTAGGGGGGATTTCCCCCCCAGAAATGAATCATTTCAAACAAAAACATTTCCTTCCACTCCATGCATAGTTTCTGAAGTTTTACCAGTTGTGATCAAACAGAACTGTCCTTCCAAAAATAAAACAACATCTGCTTGGTGGAAATATATTCATTTTACCAGTAAACCAACCCTGGACCTTATATAAATACCATTTCAAGCTGATGTGCACTTTTTAAAAATAAGCCATTTATGCAAGCATCAGTTCAGAAACTATTATAAACCATTATGCAAAAAGTTAGGAGTGGGCAGAACGTTGGAATCCAACCATCTTAAATTTAAAAGCCCATTTCAACTGCAAAGCAGACCACTGGAATATTTGGGGAGCGTTTGCCAGTCAAAAGAGCTGTGTTTCAAGTGAAGAATGCTCTGTTTTGAGCTTGGAGCGCTACGAAAATACTAAGAGAGTCTGTTTTGTGCTTCAACAGAACCACAAAAAAGTCATACCTTTTGCATCCCTATACAAAAAGCGTCTTTGGTCTCGGGTCTATTACAAGAAAGAACTAGTTCTAGTTAGAGGTCAGAACAAGTATTCCAAGATGTCCCCTTCTTTTCAAACAGCTTATATCCTGAGCAAGAAGGGCCCCAACTTTTAAAGTTTTCCAGAGAATAGTTAAAACCTGGATTTCCGGAAGGGGATTGAAGAGCTAGAGGAAGAAACAGCCCCACTTTTCTTCACAACTGTTTACACTGTTATTGCTTTTGATTATATTGCTCTTGGTATTGTCTTCGACTTTGTGCATCACCTAGGAAGGGGGCAGTTTAGAAATCTTACATACAAACAAATAGATGCCTAAAATTAATCTACTTGTGACTAAATAGAGACTAAAGAGGTTGTCTCTTGGTTGGTTCAATGAACATTAATAAACTCTAGGCTTTTTACCTAACATTTTATTGTAAGCACTAACTTTATCCAGTTGTAGATGATCTAATAGCTTTCGGAATCCATCGCAGAATTCAAAGATCTCCCAGTAAACCGGATACTGCAACTAAAACGGTAAATAAAACATATTAGTAATGAGGAAAAGATGCAGTGCGCCATAACGGAAATTTAATTCCTTGCAACTTTGAGCCCTTTCAGCTGGTAAATAAGCAGAGGCATATTTGCACCTTAACTGGGGAAATCCCATTTTGTACAAAGTTGTAGCACTCTATAACCCTACATGGACCTGTGGTTCTTGGGTTGGTTGCTTACAGGAATTAGTTGGATCGTTGTTGATTTTGGTTTTATTATTGATTTTTCTTACTTTGATTCTAAACCACCTCAAGTTCTTAAACTGGGTGATCTACTAATAATTTCAAAATAAAAAAGTAAGTAAATAAACCACAATTCCACAGGTGTACCCAGTATCTTTTTTGTGGCCTCCAAAGTCATTACACAATGTCACAAAAGTTTTTAGTATTGGGGCTAAAAATTCAAGCTTTTTTTTCCTTTGCATGGAGGTTCAAAGAGACAAAGAGGTGCCTTAATCTTTGCAAATGCTTAAAGCACCAATTTTATCCCTTAAATCCTTCGAACCGTAGTCCACGTCAGGCCCTAGCTCCTTCTGTTTTTGGAGCGCAGACCTCAGCATGCAACATTAATCCAGGTGTGGCCTCTAAACGAACTCAAGTTGTATAACTCTTATATAGAAATCTCAGCCTATTCCCAAAACAAAAACTTTAATGCAACTTCCAGCCAAAGTCTTTAAACCATTTCAGGGTTTAAGTATTTAGCAAACCATGGATGAGGAGGCAGCATTACCCTATCCAGATATGGTTCAGAAGAGGAGAGTAGCTTGAAATGCCAGGTGCTCCACTACCAAGGGGTGACACTCTGCCACAAATACACTACTGAGGCTTGGCAGCCACAGAATATGCCTCTCAAACTCAGATTGGCTGCAGTGCTCAAGCCACACCCATGCCTGTCAAATAAGGAAGGGGTCAGGAACATAATGAAGCTTTACCAGTTACTCTCCCAGCACATGGGCTCATAGGATACCAGGTAGGACTGGAGCAAACCAACAGGAATTCAAAATGGCGGCCACTGACCCAGTTACTGGGTGCTGCTAGATACAAGAATAAGGAGCTCTGACTGAGTGAATGTCTGGCAGATTTGGGGTACTGCATGACCCCAAGCCACTGCACTTGTCTTGAAAGCAAGTTCAAGAAACAAAACATAGGATTGTCAGAAGACACTCACAGCAATGACTCTGTAACCCCATCCAGACAGGGCTAGAATCTGCTGAAAGAAAACATCTGCCGTTCCACTGACTGGTGGGAGAAATATGAGGGGGCACCGGATATTCCTGGGTCCTGCGTCGTAGAGGGACCAAATCTTACTGTCGTCATCATCTACAATGATCTGCAAAATGAACATTAGAGATGACAAAGTGATCACTCCTTAGCAATCATTACTCTTGACAAGTACAACCGAAGGCCTTTAGTCACTTTTAAGAGCACCCATTAAATGGTCCTTGAACCTAGCCTAGTTTGCCTACTTCTCCCTCAGAACCAGAAATATTAGAATCATAGTTATTATTATCACATCAAAAAGAAAAAAAAACCCTACTGGTGGTGCAAGAAATCAGGAGGAGTCTGATAGCACTTCTTCCAGCTACTACATTTTATTAAAAGGCATATGCTTTCGCGAGCTCGTGCCTTTTCAGAAAATGTGTTAGTAGGAAAAGGCGCTACCAGACTCCTCATGATTTCTTGCTATCATAGACTAACATGGCTGTCCTAAAAGAATGGGTAGACTGTAAAAGAATTAGTTTGGATCACTTTAGATCCAATCCCACAACTTGGAGTGGTTCCAAAAGAAAATCCACTACAATTGTACATCAAGACGATTCTGATTATGTGGGAAATATTGCTGAGGAGGGGAGGGGAGGTACATGGCAAGACTGTGGCCAGCCATACCCTGGAAGCTTTCATATGCGTGGGCACACTCTGATAAAATTCAACTGGTGCCAGTACATCCGCAGCTTATTAGTTACCCAAGCCTCCCTCGCAAAATTGGGATTTCATCATGCCATGTGGTAGGGCCCCTTTACTTCCTGAGTATCTTCCGTCTATTTCTCTTAAAATAAATTGAGCCACATTATGTCCTCAAAGACTGCCAACGTGCACTAACAAACATTTCCTGAGTGCCTTCTGGACGTGCTGGGCGACCCTTCCCAGCTGGCATGGTCAAGCACATGGAATGGCAGTCGAATAAAACCTGAAGGGATCAGGGTGGGAAAGAAGCTAATCCTACAGGGGAGGAATTAGAGAGGCTCCATTCAGACCACGTCTGCATTGCTCTCTTTTGCAAGTGATAAAAGAACCTTAATTTAATTCCTCCCGCTTGTCCCCAAAGAAAATTAGATGAAATAAAATTTGTTTGCTTCTGTAATCACTTTTTTGGTGAATCTAAAACAACCCTCTCCTTTTAAAATTGAATTATTTGGGGAACAGGCTGCCCTCCTTTCTCATATAAAGGCTATAAAGGCAGTTTACACTTGTCACTTCTCCTTGACTACTTACCTGGAAGGAGCAGCAAAGCCGTGAAATAAAAATCAACGGCTTTTGTATGTGAAACCACAACTCTGCCCACTCACATTGCGCAACTTGCCAACCCTAAGCACAATCCACAGTCTAGACAGTATCTCATTAACTTATAAGGCTCTGTAGTACAAGGCATGGAATATTAAATTATTATGACTTGTGATGTGCTTTTCAGATTGGTCTGCAACAGTGTTTTAAGGATTTACTTCCTTGCACCCTGCCACAATGACTTATAAGTTTCCTCGATCCAAGCACACTGTTTTTCTGAAACCCAATTTAAGCTACACATCTACCTACTATATGGAATGGGTGATAATCACATGAACGTCAACGTGTTCCACTTTGAAAGAGAAGATCTTGAGAAAAGACACCAGCGGGCTTGAAATAGTCCAGCACAACTTATTTTCAGCTGCCCAACTGTTGTCACTGGCAGGTCATAAGTCTGAAGACACGTGAAGGTTTCGCTCTTCCGGGGAGATCAGAAACAGCCACTTCCCTTCCACTAAACAAGGAAGTCACAAGCTCACTGTACATTGTTCAGAACCAAAAACCGTTTCAGCAGGAAAACAACCAGGAAGTTAATTTTCATCCCCAGTAGCCACACTAAAGCAATTCTCCATGGGTCTACTCATAAAACTTCAAAAACGTATATTGCCAATTGAATTGGTGCAGCCCAATTTACATCTTTTGCATTTTACATTTGGTCTTTTATTCTGAACATTCTTCTGAAGATTAAAAAACAAAGGTCGCTTGAACCTGCTGTGTTCTGGCTGAATTGCAAATTTCACACCTTGTGGGCCTCCAGAGAGTACCATAAATCAGCTGGGGATACATAACTTGCTCACTTTTGCTGCGGAGAATGGCACTGCCCAAAATACCAAATGCAGGAAAAAGGATGCTAATATGAGCTAAGAGTATATAAGCTATAGTACTTTTTTCCCAATCCCACCTTTATTATTTTTATAAATAACTCAAGGTGGTGAACATATCTAATACTCCTTCCTCCTCCTATTTTC